TTTCTCCTATCTTAGAGATAATCGGAACTAAACACAACAACGGAAATTCACTAGTTGCACCTTATCATCCTCGGTTAAGATTCGGCTACGGAACAAACCGACACAAATAGCTTCAGAATCTCGACTCTCAATTTACTGTGAAGAGGACTATGGCTATGTTTGGTAAACCCAGATGAAGAGTTAGTTAATAGCTTATAAATAAATTTCGAGCTTACAACTTATAGATTATGATTGATAGTTGAAAAGTTAGATGATACAATAAAATTATTTGGTAAAAATTAAAATTAGTTGACAAGCTGAATTAAACAAGCTTCTTTGAAAAGCTACCTATTCAAGCTTATGAGATAACCTTGGTCTTAAATGTTCGTCCTACCAAACAAAACTTATTTGATTACAAGAATTAGAAGAAGCTTATAAGCTAATAATCAAGCTATAAACTAACTTACGGTGCTTACCAAACATATTCTATATCCTTAAGTTTCGGTTCTGTGTGTAATATTTGGAAATCATTATGTGAGCGACATGCTTGTTAGCTGGAGCACTTGATGAGAACTTCCATGATTAGGAATGAGAAAGATTCTCTAAGCCCATCCTTATAAATCTTCCATATCCATTTATGTATACAATCATAAATGAAGTACAACACAACTTGTTTCAAAATGCATGTGATTGTTACTAATCCTCTTAACTGAAAATTTCTAACTCTTAGCATCATCTGCAGAATACTTACTGAGACCGCGAAGCAATCGCAAGATGGTACGGATTCTGGAAATTGGAGTGAAATTGAGGTACTTTACTCAACTGACTATGTTTCTGAATTTGGTCTTGGAAAGGCTGTTTAGCCAGTGAGTTTATGAAAAGCTGCCACTCATGTTAAAAATCGAGAAGCCCGTTTTTGTTTCGTTTTGGACGTTTCATGTAAGTTCTTGTCTTTCAATACTTCATATTACTCCAAAAGTCCTGGAAGCATTTTAAAACTAGAGATGCAGTTTCATATGCAATCCTCACCTCTAAATCTTAATGCCAAAAGATATAGGATTGCAACTTGTGTATATCAAAGAAACACTGTTAATTGTAAGTGTTATCCATACAGGTGTAGTGGAAATTGTTTTTGTATAGTAAAATGAACTTATTTAGATGAATTCTGATGATAGTACACATGACCTTTCTAGGGAGCCTGGGTATTGAAACCGAGGAGCTCCAAGTTAATGGCTGTCGTACATTTTGTGGGGGGCATATTCGTGGGGGCTGCCCCACAGCTTACATATCGTTTGTTTCTGGAACGTCTAGCAGATAAGTGAGTCATTTTATTGACACTAATTTTAATCCTTCTATTGTCCAGCAATTAAACATTCGAAAACCATTTTATTATCGTCCGCTGTAATATATTATACAGCCTGACCTTTCATACTTTTCTAAAACTGAATGATTCCACTATTATGTCCTATTACTTTTATTTTTTATATTAGACTAGCTTTAGTCAGCAGATTGTACATTTTCAACACTTACTTCTTGGAAGATGCGCATACACTTCCAGTTTGGGGTTTTGAAGCTTCTCCCCTATGTCTATTGGCTCATCATTTCTTTAGTATAATTCACTGCATCTAGCATAACATGAAGATGTTGAAGATAATTACTTGTTTATTTCGTACCTTGTCTGCTACACAGGGGCATATTGGTTATTGCTACTCCTTATGCCAGTGGTTTTGATCACTTCCTTATAGCAGATGAAGCCCAGTTCAAATTCGAGCGGTGTCTTCGATATCTTCAGGAAACAGTGAGTTTTATTTTCCATAGTAGCTGTGTCTTAGTTAACATTTATTTGTTTTTGATTGACTTTATTGCCCAGGATGAAGATATTCCATGTTTTGGGATTGGTCATTCTCTGGGATCGGTCATTCACCTTCTTATAGGTGCATACATATTTACGTTATATGTATTCACTGTAATGCCTTGTGGATGCTTAGCATGAAATTAAAATGTGTGATATCCACTTATCCAGGCTCAAGGTATGCTCTGAAAAGGAACGGGAACATATTAATGGCATTCAATAACAAGGTACTGCTTGAGTTTACCTTGTTTGACATTCATATTTGAAGGTGATTATTTTATAGTTAAGGCACTTTGGATGTGCCTGACGTTGACAAACTATATGAAAATTGAGTAATTCTTGATTCACTATCGTAATCTTTCAATGCATTTTTTATTAACATTTTGATTTAGACCAAAAGGATACATAGTTGGACTTTGTCATAATATTACCTAAAATATTTAATCACATATATATATATATATATTTCTTTTTTTCATTTAGCTAGACTTACTGTTTAAGAAACATTTGTCATAATATGATCAAGACTCTTCTTATCAAATGGATTTTTAATATATCAGTCTTGGACACCAAAAGACTTCATACAATTTGTAGATTAATTTTTATCAGTTGTGAAATTTCATGTCACTCAAAATGAAACACAGCCTGTTATTGCTTTGAATTCTTATTTTTTGCAGGTGTGTAGAATATTCCTGTAATTTTCACCTTGCAGAATGTTTCTAATTTTAATCGCAGGAAGCAAGCCTAGCCGTTCCTTTATTTTCACCTGTCATTGTGCCAATGGCCGAAAGAATTGGACCTATTTTATCACAAATAATATCATCACCAACGGTTCGCCTTGGGGTGAGATTTTCATTTATGTTTCATGTCTTTTATATGTCAACATGGCAACAACTGTGATTAATAAATATTGTGTGATTCAGGACATTTGTTTCTGGAACTTTAACGTTGTCTTACTTAACATAACAAAACATAACTTCTTAGACCCGCCCTCATGCGCAGCATGCTAAAACCAAATGGGCCGGGTCCAAACCCAACATCGCCTCCAAACAAACAAAAATGGTTGCTCTGATGCCATGATAAATGGGTGCTCTGATGCCATGATAAATGGGTTTGGGTTAATATAACTCATCCCAAAAGCTAGCTCAAAGGGGGAGGGTGCTCAACCCACACATATGCACAATAACAGACTACTAACTAATCAATGTCGGATAAATATAACTTCTAACAATGGGGAAGGACTTTCATGGTCTTAAGTTATTATTGTATCCTTGAGGGGATTTTGAGTCCATATATGGGAGGCAAATAAAATGAACTTATTGATCAAATAAAATGAACCCTGCTGTTAATGTTTAACCTGGACATTATAAGTTCGTATCAAGGTGGCGAGTGAATAGAGAATGTCGGGCTCATGTACAAAATGACCTTTTATGAAATTATATTTTTCTGCTAAAAAGTTTCACGATTTTGAATGTGATGAGGATGCACGTGGAACTTATATTACATGTGATGCAATAGGTTATTAACCTTCATTGGACTTGTTTGATTGAGTTTGTGTTCTATGAATTCCTGGGACTAGATATAATTTGTCCAGTTAAGTACTACAGTTAAGTAGTAGTACTGGTTAAGGTTCTGTTTTTACAATAAATTCATTTTCCTTTTCTATGCAACTGTGGCTACATAGCAGTGAGATGATTATGATAGATTATCTAACTATGTTGGATAGTTTAAAGTTTTGAAATGTTCTCTTAGTTTTGCTTATTTTAAGCAATGCAGACTTTTGAGTATTATTGTGTTTACCTTGAACTGTATCTGAAGGCTGAAATGACTAGGAAGCAATTTGAGAACCTTAGCCCTTCCATTTTAAAGCAAGCTCTCCCTTTGGTCGAGCAACTCGCTCCGTTGTACATGGACTTAGCTAAGGGGAAGGAAGAATTTTCTCCCACGCCAGAAGAAACTCGGAGATTGGTAAATCCAGTTTTCATATTAAACTTTTTTTCAGTATTTACTTTCATCTATCTATAATCTATAATCTATATCTATTCTATATCTATAATCTATCTATCTATAACTACCTTAAAAGTATGAGTTATTTGTTGAAAATTTTGAATTACCCATACTACCCTCCCTCAAAAGATGTTACTTTAAATGATATAAATGTAATTTGTGATTTTACATTAGAAATTGATAATGGTGATTTGTAACTTCTCCAACCACATTTAAATAGAAACTTGAATTGCCAATACTATCCTTAACAAAAATGAAATGTAACTTTTGTTTGAAAGATATAAACTTAATATTATAAATTTAAATTAAAATCACATTACAACTACACACCTATTTTCTTTTTTATAAATATATGTTGTCTAACTCTTCCATTTCTCTTCATCATATACAATTATTTTTTATGCATATAAAATTTATATTAATCTCATCCTAGGTATTATTCTTCATCATCTACAAATATTAATTTATTTATTACAAGAGTATAAGTAGTTCCATTTTAGGGCATCACCTTCTAAAATGTTGGTCCTGTTTAATCACAAATTGATGCAGATAGAATGCCACTAATTTATATGTCATATAAATGTTTTATATGTCATATAAATGTTTTTCAAATGAAATTGTTACTAAATAGTGAGATTATAATTAATTTAAGTCTTATATATAAAAAATAATAAGTATCAAGCCAAATAATAAATATTAGTTTTAATTTGTAATACATGTTATTTAAAATTACCTTCACCGTGGTTTATTTTCATCACTATGCCTTCAAATGTTTACTCCTATCTATCTTGATAGTTATAAAACAAATTACATAAGAGTTTATAATTTTCAAATTCTAAAAAATGGAACTATAATTTAGGACTTTCTATCATTCCAGTACAAATTAGTAATTCCAACTTAATGTAATACATATGATTATTTGATATGTGATAGATAATTGTAGTCGTCTATTCAAAATGTATTAATCTTTTAATTAAACGAGGGCAGATGATTATCATCACTATCAACTCCAATCTAATATATATTTTTAATATTAATTACAACTGAATGGTCACAAAGTTCACTATCATCTTCAAATTTTAGTAAAAACCCACTAAAGTATACATCATGTATAACAAGTTAATACATTCATAATCAATATTTTTTTTAGGTAAAATTACAACTTTTATGTAATAAACAATCTACCTATTTTTTAGTTTGATTAAAATTAAGCAAAATAAATTTAACATGTTTTTTTTTTCAGTGGATTGAAGTTTATTTTCAAATAACTATCTTAAAAAGGATTCTCCTTGAAAAAATTGAATTGCCAAAAATGCCATATGCTAAAATTAATTCTAAGGCAAATAATGTAATTTTGCCACAACTTTTAGGGAGTTACAAATATTAATAGTTACAATCATTTTTTTAATCAATTATTTTTCATTCTACTTTACTTTATTATTTGTTTTATCTATGATCTTTTATTATATTTTTTACATATTCAATAATGTAATTTCTTTTAGTTGATATAAAGATGTTAAGATTATCTAAACAAATATGTAAGTTAGAAATAAAAAAATAGAATAAATATTTACGGAAAATGTAGTTTTTTAATGTAAGAAAAAGATTATTTTTAAGATTTTTTAAAAATAAAATAGAGTTTATAATTTTCAAATTCTAAAAAATGGAACTATAATTTAGGACTTTCTATCATCTCAGTACAAATTAGTAATTCCAACTTTATGTAATACATATGATTATTTGATATGTGATAGATAATTGTAGTTGTAGTCTATTCAAAATGTATTAATCTTTTAATTAAATGAGGGCAGATGAGCTACAAATCATCACTATCAACTCCAATCTAAAATATATTTTTAATATTAATTACAACTGAATGGTCATAAATGTTGACTGTCATCTTCAAATTTTAGTAAAAACCCACTGAAGTATACATTATGTATAACAAGTTAATACATTCATAATCAATATTTTTTTTAAGTAAAATTACAACTTTTATGTAATAAACAATCTACCTATTTTTTAGTTTGATTAAAATTAAGCAAAATAAATTTAACATGTTTTTTCAGTGGATAAAGTTTATTTACAAATAACTATCTTAAAAAGGAGACTTGTTTCTTGAAAAAATTGAATTGCCAAAAATGCCATATGCTATAATTAATTTTAAGGCAAATAATGTAATTTTGCCACAACTCTTAGGGAGTTACAAATATTAATAGTTACAATTATTTTTTAAGTCAATTATTTTTCATTCTACTTTACTTTATTATTTGTTTTATCGATGATCTTTTATTATATTTTTTACATATTCAATAATGTAATTTTTTTTAGTTGATATAAAGATGTTAAGATTATCTAAACAAATATGTAAGTTAGAAATAAAAATAGAATAAATATTTACAGAAAATGTAGTTTTTCAATGTAAGAAGAAGATTATTTTTAAGATTTTTTTAAAATAAGATATAATTTATTTCACAAGTGTAAAATATATAATGCACCAATGAAAGTATCATCTCTAATTTCTACTATAGATTTTCTCGGTTATTGTATTAAAAAAATAAAAAAAGGTAAAAAATATTGAACATGCATGTGTTTAAAAATGATTGAATGGAAAATAACTTTTCAACATATAGAAAAAGTCAGTGTTTTGTGGAAAAAAAGATTATTTCTTTGGTGAAAATGTATAATCTTAATAAAATTATTTTGTTCAAATTATTCACTAAAAGAATATGCATAATACGATTTAAGTTTACATAAATTAATCTGCCATTTATTTTAATTGTAATATAAATAAAAATAGAGTAATTATAAAAATAAAAAAAAAAAATTAAAACTCATACATGTACTTGTTAGAAAATATATAGTTGTATTTAAAATAAATTAAATAAAAGTAAATAGTGCATTTAGTTTAAATTAATATTCATTAGCCAATCTTATTTATAAAATCATCCATAAATTATATTTTTCAAATCACTTCCTTTATAAAAATATTGACAAATATATAAAATAATTTTAAGATAAAAGTAAATAGGAAAGAATCATCATTTTATAATTAATTTAAAATGGAATTATTTAATTATCACTATTAGGATAGTTTATTGAAAATCCGAAAATGATAATGCATTGAACAATATATATAGATAGGTTAGTTTCTTGAAAATCCGAAAATGATAATGCATGCACGACAATGTTAGGAGATACAACAACAATTTATTTTAATTTGAACAATATATATAGATAGGTTCCTTCAATCAGCCAATGTTAAGATAGATGAGTACCTTTAATTAATCAAGGATGTTATTGTTCCAAATAATTATCAAGTAAATTTTCTTTTTTTTTTAAAATAATTATGACTTTAAAGATGTTTCCAAATATTTATATCTCTTATATCATTATATCAAGAGAGAAAATATATATCTAAATATTATAAGTGCAATATAATTGAATTTGCAACCGTATAATTGAAATAATAGAGAACAAAACATTGAACCATAGTGTGTTAGCATACAATCAACAATAAAAAATAATAATTACCAATTATAGTATATCAAATTAGAGTTATTTTTCAAGAGTATGACGAAAAAGAAAGACATTAAAAAACTATATTATATTGACAATAGTAATGCCATGATTTTCAGCATAATGCCGATATCATTAAATAATAAATCAAAGACGACATAGATTTCTTTAGCATTTAAAATTTCACAAAATAATATCAACTCTATTTTGGATTTCTAACTCAATATTTATTTATTTAATTTTATTTGTCATAGAGTTCGTTCAATATTATTTAATAGTATATTTTTTTTATTCAATATATTTATTATTGTTTCTTATAAAATTCACCATTTTTTGTTAAATAATGGAAAGTAAATTAGATTATACTATTAAATTAAATCTAATAATAAAATAATTTTAAGTAAAAAAAGAAATGGTATAATCTAATTAAATTAAATCTAAATAATAAAATAATTTTAATATAATAAAATAATTATATTTATTACGCACGTGATATTGTTTCTTTTTTTACTTAAAATTATTTTATTATTAGATTTAATTTAATAGTATAATCTAATTTACTTTTCATTATTCAACAAAAAATGGTGAATTTTATAAGAAACAATAATAAATATATTGAATAAAAAAAATATACTATTAAATAGTATTAAACGAACTCTATGAAAAATAAAATTAAATAAATAAATATTGAGTTAGAAATCCAAAATAGAGTTGATATTATTTTGTGAAATTTTAAATGCTAAAGAAATCTATGTTTGTCTTTCATTTATATTACTATCATTATGCTGAAAATCATGATATTACTATTGTTAATATAATATAGTTTTTTAATGTCTTTCTTTTTCGTCATACTCTTGAAAAACAACTCTAATTTGATATACTATAATTGGTAATTAGTAATTATCATTTTTTATTGTTGATTGTATGCTAACACACTATGGTTGAATGATTTGTTCTCTATTATTTCAATTATACGGTTGCAAATTCAATTATATTGCACTTATAATATTTAGATATATATTCTCTCTCTTGATATAATGACATAAGAGATAAAAATATTTGGAAATATCTTTAAAGTCATAATTATTTAAAAAAAAAAAAGAAAATTTACTTGATAATTATTTGGAACAATAACATCCTTGATTAATTAAAGGTACTCATCTATTTTAACATTGGCTGATTGAAGGAACCTATCTATATATATTGTTCAAATTAAAATAAATTGTTGTTGTATCTCCTAACATTGTCGTGCATGCATTATCATTTTCGGATTTTCAAGAAACTATCCTAATAGTGATAATTAAATAATTCCATTTTAAATTAATTATAAAATGATGATTCTTTCATATTTACTTTTATCTTAAAATTATTTTATATATTTGTCAATATTTTTATAAAGGAAGTGATTTGAAAATTATAATTTATGGATGATTTTATAAATAAGATTGACTAATGAATATTAATTTAAACTTAATGTACTAATTACTTTTATTTAATTTATTTTAAATACAACTATGTATTTTCTAACAAGTACATGTATGAGTTTTAATTATTTTATTTTATTTTTATAATTACTCTATTTTTATTTATATTACAATTAAAATAAATGGCAGATTAATTTATGTAAACTTAAATCGTATTATGCATATTGTTTTAGTGAATAATTTGAACAAAATAATTTTATTAAGATTATATATTTTCACCAAAGAAATAATCTTTTTTCCACAAAAACACTGACTTTTTCTATATGTTGAAGAGTTATTTTTCATTCAATCATTCTTAAACACATGCATGTTCAATATTTTTTACCTTTTTTTATTTTTTTAATACAATAACCGAAAAAATCTATAGTAGAAATTAGAGATGATACTTTCATTGGTGCATTTTATATTTTACACTTGTGAAATAAATTATATCTTATTTTAAAAAAATCTTAAAAATAATCTTTTTCTTACATTGAAAAACTACATTTTCCGTAAATATGTATTCTATTTTTTATTTCTAACTTACATATTTGTTTAGATAATCTTAACATCTTTATATCAACTAAAAGAAATTACATTATTGAATATGTAAAAAATATAATAAAAGATCATAGATAAAACAAATAATAAAGTAAAGTAGAATGAAAAATAATTGACTTAAAAAATAATTGTAACTATTAATATTTGTAACTCCCTAAGAGTTGTGGCAAAATTACATTATTTGCCTTAAAATTAATTATAGCATATGGCATTTTTGGCAATTCAATTTTTTCAAGAAACAAGTCCCCTCTTTAAGATAGTTATTTGTAAATAAACTTCATCCACTGAAAAAACATGTTAAATTTATTTTGCTTAATTTTAATCAAATTAAAAAATAGGTAGATTGTTTATTACATAAAAGTTGTAATTTTACTTAAAAAAAATATTGATTATGAATGTATTAACTTGTTATACATGATGTATACTTCAGTGGGTTTTTACTAAAATTTGAAGATGACGGTGAACATTTATGACCATTCAGTTGTAATTAATATTAAAAATATATATTAGATTGGAGTTGATAGTGATGATTTGTAGCTCATCTGCCCTCATTTAATTAAAAGATTAATACATTTTGAATAGACTACAACTACAATTATCTATCACATATCAAATAATCATATATATTACATAAAGTTGGAATTACTAATTTGTACTGGGATGATAGAAAGTCCTAAATTATAGTTCCATTTTTTAGAATTTGAAAATTATAAACTCTATTTTATTTTTAAAAAATCTTAAAAATAATCTTTTTCTTACATTGAAAAACTACATTTTCCGTAAATATTTATTCTATTTTTTTATTTCTAACTTACATATTTGTTTAGATAATCTTAACATCTTTATATCAACTAAAAGAAATTACATTATTGAATATGTAAAAAATATAATCGATAAAACAAATAATAAAGTAAAGTAGAATGAAAAATGATTGTAACTATTAATATTTGTAACTCCCTAAAAGTTGTGGCAAAATTACATTATTTGCCTTAGAATTAATTTTAGCATATGGCATTTTTGGCAATTCAATTTTTTCAAAGGAGAATCCTTTTTAAGATAGTTATTTGAAAATAAACTTCAATCCACTGAAAAAAACATGTTAAATTTATTTTGCTTAATTTTAATCAAACTAAAAAATAGGTAGATTGTTTATTACATAAAAGTTGTAATTTTACTTAAAAAAATATTGATTATGAATGTATTAACTTGTTATACATGATGTATACTTTAGTGGGTTTTTACTAAAATTTGAAGATTAACATTTATGACCATTCAGTTGTAATTAATATTAAAAATATATATTAGATTGGAGTTGATAGTGATGATTTGTAACTCATCTGCCCTCATTTAATTAAAAGATTAATACATTTTGAATAGACTACAACTACAATTATCTATCACATATCAAATAATCATAGGTATTACATTAAGTTGGAATTACTAATTTGTACTGGAATGATAGAAAGTCCTAAATTATAGTTCCATTTTTTATAATTTGAAAATTATAAACTCTTCATGTAATTTGTTTTATAACTATCAAGATAGATAGGAGTAAACATTTGAAGACATAGTGATGAAAATAAACCACGGTGAAGCTAATTTTAAATAACATGTATTACAAATTAAAACTAATATTTATTATTTGGCTTGATACTTATTATTTTTTATATATAAGACTTGAATTAATTATAATCTCACTATTTAGTAACAATTTCATTTGAAAAACATTTATATGACATATAAGTTAGTGGTATTCTATCTGCATCAATTTGTGATTAAACAGGACCAACATTTTAGAAGGTGATGCCCTAAAATGGAACTACGTATACTCTTGTAATAAATAAATTAATATTTGTAGATGATGAAGAATAATAGCTAGGATGAGATTAATATAAATTTTATATGCATAAAAAATAATTGTATATGATGAAGAGAAATGGAAGAGTTAGACAACATATATTTATAAAAAAGAAAATAGGTCTGTAGTTGTAATGTGATTTTAATTTAAATTTATAATATTACGTTTATATCTTTCAAACAAAAGTTACATTTCATTTTTGTTAATTTTTGTTAAGGATAGTATTGGCAATTCAAGTTTCTATTTAAATGTGGTTGGAGAAGTTACAAATCACCATTATCAATTTCTAATGTAAAATCACAAATTACATTTATATCATAAAAATCAAGCAGTAATCTGCAACAATCCCCTTGACTACACAAAACATGCTTGTTTGTTTTCATCGTTTAAATAGCTCTAAATGACTAATGGATGATTTATTATTGTTCTTGATCTGAATGTGACCTTTTTTACTCGACAGATCAGGTCTTATTATGGTATCTCAAGGAATTTATTAATTAAGTTCAAAGATGATACCATCGACGAAACTTCCACACTAGCCCAAGTTCTGAGCTCAGAATCTGCTATTAGCTCAATGATGGATATGTCTATTCGTTCCTTACCCGGTGATCACGGGCTGCCTCTACAACAGGTCTAATTTCAAAAGTCTGTTCTAACATACATTGCTTCATATGTTGTACATTTAAGTGAAAAGTTGTAATTACAAAGTAAAAATTGAAATATTCTTGAAAAACTCAGGTCTTGCCGGATGTGCCCCCTGCAATGGCAGATGTAGTAAATCGAGGAGGAGAACTTTTGGCTAGTTTAAGTGCAGGTACACCATGGGAGTCAGTGGCCAAACAAGTGGGCACGTCTTTCAGTGCATACGATTCGAAGGATATTGATCTGCTTGTTGATGTAATTATTAGCTGGATTGCCTTCAACACTGGCCCGAGACTCTTAAAGCCGTAATAATGGACTAGAGTCCATCATCTGATGTGTGGACCGGAGCGCACTGTGTAATGTGGACTCTTGTTACAGGTATGTATAGTTCTAGTTATGTGATGTAGCTAATAGTCATGCATATTTATTCATCATGGCGTGTATCTATGTATTTAATATTTATGTAATGTAATGTAAATGTAACGGAACTTTGCAGTCTAAATTCATATACCAGCATATCGATGTGCATTGTTTCTGATATGTTGTGTACATAAGTATGTAATGATTTGTGGCTTTATTTAATAGTATTCAATAGTTTTAACTTTTAATTTAATTAATGTATTTATATGTTGATATATAAGTATTTGTTGATACTATCGACTTGTATACGCATGAGCTATATGTATTCTGATATAAGTAAATTGAAGTCCCGGCACACAATCTGATGATGTATTGATCTGTTCGGGCTCCACACGTATAAAAGAAACTATATGTTAGTGTTAGTTATGGATAATTCTTTACTTGATTATGTTCTATTTATCTAAATGTCTATTTAGGTTGCCACTTAAATAAGTTTTTTTTTTTTTTTCTGAAGGGATTGGACACTTGTGTTTATTAGTTGTTGTATTGGTTGATACCATACATGTACTCGAATTTCTTAGGTCTCCTTCCTGAAAGTTTTTATTTATTTATTTATTTTTAAATAATACTAATAATAATTATCTCGTGCATAAATAGGGTATTTTTTTTTGTAGATTTACTACCTCGTTTTTAGGAATACGATTATCAGTATTTTTTTTTAATTTGATGTTAAATACATATCATACTAAACATTGTGCCCTTTTTCACATTTAATAAACCATTATAACAATTATATAAATATAACACTTACAAATAACATTACGTGAATATTGCATTAAAAAACATATGCATAATAAAATAACAATTGAATGATTTTAAATACTAAACTTGGAAAATACTTTATTAGTTTATTTAAAAGCAAAACTCGTGTTGCAAAGGAGTAATAATTCTATGAATGAAAGTTTCACTTGACAAGAGAATCAAAAAGCGATATAAGAAGTTGGGTATTGTGTGGCTTGTGCGGAGAGGCCCTTAGGCTTTGCTGATCTCTAAACCAAATCCCTAAATAGGCTCAAGTCGCTTTTGTGAAATCGCCTTCGATTGATTGACCTGAGCCTTTATGGAATTCAAAAAGGATAGATAGTGTACGTAATCTTTCCTTGCACGTGAAAATTTAACTCCATTGAGATTCACTCAGGCCGGTTGCCATGCAATAAGAGAAGCAAATGAAATGACCAACGTTTTAACCTGTGTTGTTTGTTTGCCACAAAACTTTACATATCAACATTTTTAACAATGTAGTCTATATAATGCTCGGCTTCTACACGACTAAATCCAACATCCCAAAAGACAAGAAAAAAAACCCTAGTAAAGTGGTCGGCGATGACAGTAGTGATAGTATGATAATGCAGCTTCTGAACAAGGTTTAGGCCAGCACAGAAAAACTCATGTAGCAAATGCTTTCACCTGCCAAAATCCAAAATTTTAAAAAGAAAAAAAATATCAATTTCCTCAACCTAATTAAAATAAAAAAATCAGAAGATCTCCTCACCTGCTCCAGCTTTCCAATGAAAAGGAGCTCAACTTCTCTACGAAGAATTTCTAAATCCAGAGCATACTCTTTAAATGTATCAACACGAATCAATTCCTGCAACCGTTCCCTTAACCTCCCAAGTGCTGCATCCAATTCACACACATCCTTCCAGACTAGAGCATCAATGGATCTCAGCAGCAATAAATTCTTAACAGCATGTAGAGCCTGCAAAATACAGAGCACCAATCATGCATGTAGAAATGCACACAATTTTACTTATTTTATTTTTCTTTTGGGAGGGGGTGGGAGGAGCACAAAATTCCTATTCAAAAACATGATTGATGCAGTTGACTCATGAAGTTTTGGCACACAGTTTAGGGCACCATCTATCTTTCACCTATAGCTAGCAGGTCATAGATGTGTTCTTATGCATTACAGTTACAGTAATAAAAACTAGGAAACAAACAGGAAATTAGACGAGCAAAGACCTTTTCCTGGAGATCAAGGTCATGTGATGCCAGTAGATCAACCACAGATTTTAACAAGGAATGATTGCTGAAGAAAGTCAGTTCTGTGTTACTCCCACTGTCCAGTTGACACTCAACCAGATCAGCCAAGAGAAAAACGGATTTCCGGCGTAGTCTGATATCGATGCTTGAGTTACTTAGAATGTTCTGCAAGACAACTCACGTTAAGGAAAGCAGCTTTTAGACTTGCAACTCGTGCACCACAGATCAGATTCGCTTTATTCGGTATTCATCAATTACCTGAAGCATCATGTCTCCAGCTTCCAAATAGAATAACCTTTGCCCTTCCACATTATTTCTGATCAATGCTGAAACAGCATATAATGCTTTTGTGGCTTCCTCAGTGGAATCAGAGTGCACCATCTCTATTAACTTTGCCAGTGTTCCAAGCGTCAATATCTGTTATTCTCAAATGTTAAATGCTGACTATACAGGTCATGTGACACTCTTTAGAGTGAAAACATGAGTCTCTGTGCGAAGATAGAGGGTGTGACTGGATACATTTTCATCTTAGGTGAATATTTTAGAAAGAAAATCGAAGAATTAATAATCTTTATAATGTAAATTAATGTGGTATAAAGAGTAATAACTAATTGTGATGTAATCGGAAAAGAGTAAAATATATGAGTGAGTGAACACTAAAATTTTTAACGGTAGGTGTAGCAATGATTTGATTGCTCATTTTTACTGTGTTGAGAATATTGAAGAGAGAAAAGTGAAATGGATGAATAATATATTTTTTGATTGGTGGATGAATAAATGTGTTTGAATATGTATCCAATTGCACCAAAAGTCCAAAACACGTTTTGTGAAGGAAAAGCTAATAACCTACCTGGTTCTGAACAAGAGGATTGTTTTGGCTGGCTTTGCCTAGAATCCAAGCAGAAATAGTTCTTATTTCTGGGTTTGCATTGTTAAGTTCCCTTATGACCACAGTGAGTCCCCCCAGTTTGTGAAGATCTGTAAATAAAACAGTACCGTGCATGCCACGTTTGAGAGCTGAAAAGACATCATGACAGAACAAGCAGACCAGTGGTGCCATAAATTTTGTCCCCACAAAAATTATGTTTTTGCTTTCCCTTTCATCGCTGAAGAGCGAACAAGATACCATGTACTCAATTTATCCCAATTATTTTCCTCCAACAGTCCAACTTCAACATGGACATATGTAAGATTATACTTCTTAAAATAGAAAATTTTGTTTGAGAGAAATACTTGCAAATTTCAGAAAACAATCTAACTGCAAGTAACCCGAATAAACTAAGAAATATTATTGGAAAAACTTAATTTTTCCAAAATGATTAAGGCTGAAGATTGCGATCCACACATACCATTTGCATTATCGATAGGCTCAACAAGTACCAGAAGCTCCTGAAGTGCACGGTGCCGATCCTCGAAAGGTATGGATGAGTTATTCAAATCATCTATTGCAATTTTCATCAATTGTGCATCTGATGGCGTCTTTAATTTCTCCATCAATTCCTGCGCCAGCATTCAAAATAGGACAATATCAAATCTCCATAAAGCAAAATAAAGCTAAAGCCAGATTTTACCAGCTACCAGTGAAGAATTTTACATAAAGCACAGACATGACAGAACCAATAGTGTGTTAGTGTTCATAGGAAATATTATGTACTCCCAGTCATAGCTGACGAGGGCAATCAAATACTGATTGGACAGGTCAGAAACCTTATTGGACCACTACTGTTACACATAATAGAGAACAAACATAAATAAGGCAATGAAATTAGATCTGCAATAAACACGATCAAATGATAATGTAACAGCCTAGATTTTAGAGAAAGTGTACGACTTGGAGAAGAAAAGGTTCTGGCATAAGCAACAGCAGGACCTTAAAAGGAAAAGTTCAATGGATGGAGATAATAATTGCAAGTTGCAACAAGAACACAGTTTCTCCATTCCTCCATAAGAAAGAAGCACTAGGATATTCATTTTACAAGTATACTTTCACACCCTTGCGAAAATGAGCAATCAGCCAAAACAGTTAGTACAATTTTTATATATGGCGGTGCTAGAGAAGAGTACTGCAAAGGTATAATTAGATTCACAGGGACCAAAGATAAAATACATCAGGACAAACTATAGACCACACCTTTATTTCCACCTGGCGTTGCATCAGCTCTTCAGGGGACAGGTTTTGGATACCTAGTGCAGCTTCCTCTAACTTTGCTGGATCTGAATGACCTATTTCAATCGAGGAAAACAGACGAGCATAAATATCAAGGCATAATGGTGCAAACTACATATCTCATTCAACCAAGAGGATGACTAGAACAGCAATTCATTCCATATCTCCAAATATACTTTATCGTGTGTACTAATACTAGAATGTAGCTGAAAGCTCTTTGTATATTTGGCAGTAGGCTATCTCGTGTATCTAACTGGAACTTCCAAAATTATCTAATTGGGATTTAGTTGACTACAATGCATTCCGAATCATAACCAATCTTGAATCCCCAACAAATCCAAGTACGTTCGAATGAAACTCCGGAATGAAGAACTAGACTTCCTAAGCTTTTTACCCAGTTAAACAAACTATAAAGTACCTTAAATCACCTCTGGTAGGGCATCAGGCATTTCAAGCAGCAGCGGAAACCAGTATTTTCAACTTTTGTTTGAACAAATTTTCTCAAGTTACAAATTCCACAGAAAATTGAGAGGGAACACAGATTATAGAAAGTGAAAAATCCGGAAAGGTACCAATAGCCCACTGTAACATCCCGTCCAGGGAAGAGAAGCCGCCGTCCAAATGCGAATGACGTTCCTCGTCGTTCCTCGAATCATCATCGGATTCGTAAGCTTTCAATCCCAAGAGATCTCCTTCCTCCTTTCCGATGGACCAAATCGACGCCGACTTATTGACGCGTTCTGCACGGACAGCAGCTCCCAAAATCAGTGCCAACAACACTAACAGTCTCACCTTCCGTGTGATTGACAAGGATTGCCGCTCCATCACCACCGGCACAACTTTTTCTTCACTGAAACAACAATCGACCTCCGGTGTACAGTAGGACGAAGTGAGAATTCCCCTTTCGAATTGTTCAGGAATTATAGCTCGTGCCTGGTCGAGTTTTTCTTTTTCCAAGGTTCTGGACAATTTGTTAGTATTTTAATTTTTTTACGTTAAATAATTTTTTAAATAATGGTATAAAAAACACGTAAATTAAAGATAATTCGGTAATAACAATATTTATTTATTCAACATCCTCCTACATATAATTGCACAATGCATGTACCTAAATTGCAGTCTCTAATGCTTCGAAATCCTACTTGGTGAAAAACATGTTTCGTAGTTTGATTTGTATATATTATTAATTTTAAATTCAGACATTCCAAAAATATTAAAAAACTAAATTGTTAACTTCACAACAGTTAATATAACTCTTAAGTTATATTGGAACCTTTGCTAATGATATTGATTGACTAATATAACTTTAATTTATTTTGGAAGCTCTCAATCGGCTCATTAATTTTCATGAAAACCTCAAATTAGCTTAGTATGTACATATATTTAATTTTAAACAATTGTTGATGTTATTATTACTTAATTTTACAAAAAAAAAAAATTTATTAACAAATAACCGTGTAGTACTTGCAAATAATTGATTACTTAAGTATTTATATTTATTTATTTATTAAATCCAAAGTAAATATTTGAACATGCGTAAACAATTTTTTTGGTATTGATTTTCGCCCGATTTTATTTGTTCAAAGAGATTATTTGACCATGTTAAATCCAATCGATCTATTGATTGACTCCCGAATTGATTCAATTATTGGAAGTGTTGTTTTATCATAATTAATAATAGAACAAATTTAGTGTTGTAATCGAACCGAACGAGACGAGTTTGGGTTGTTTGTTTAATTGCACAAATTTAGCGTTCGTGTTCGTTCGTTTATTATTCGAGCAAAAATTCATGTTCGAACTCATTCTTTTAATTGTTCGTCAAAGTTCGAGTCCGTTCATGTCCGAATAATTTGAGACATAAACTTTTTAAATATGTTTGATTAACTCGAAATTTATTCGTTCAAAGTCGTTGAAACTCAAAAATATAAAAATAATATAAAATATTTGTTATATATTTAGATTTTTTATTAAAAATATTATGTAACTATATAAAAAATTTATATTAAATCAATGTTCGCGAACATTATCGAACGTTCACGAATGAGCTCGTGTTCGTTCGTGATGTAGGGAAAGCGTACGAGTGGAAATGATAAACGAGTAAACGAGATACTCTCTCGTAAAACACGCAAAACTCACAATACTCTTATTTCATTTCAATGATCAACTATCTCATAACAAAACAGAAGAGCCCTTTAAATAAGGCTCCTAACCCTAGATTTTAACTTGTCCAACAAGACAAGATATCTTACTAAATATAAAAACCTAACTTATTAATAATAATAATAATAATAATAATAATAATAATATTCTACACCATTCACCCCCGGTTCGGAAGGCTTCGCCCTCGAAGCCAATGCGCTCCCGTGGCCGGCGTGTGGTGTCGAACTCATGGTAGCAAACCCCGTCATTTTTCCCGGTCGAACACGAAGGTTGAACATCGCTCAACTTCGTATAACAAATGGAGGATCCGATCTTTAGCCTCATAAGACATTTTTGGATCTTCAGGGAACTTCAAACATGGTCTCCAATTTATTATTTTGCGACATGCCAATGAACGATGATTGCGTTTCCACTGTTGTAGCGCAGTTTCTGTGCCCAAATGCCCGTGATGCTCATTTTTAGAATGCGGAGCAATAAAATCAGCAACTTCTAGTAACATGAATGAATATTTTTTCAATGGCTTACACAAACCAAAATCAGAAAGCGTCACCTCGGGCCCCAGAGGCTCTTCATCGAAAATAGGCGGACCGTCGTAGAGACCGTCCACTTCGTCGGTAAGACGTTTCTCGACC